TTAAATCTATTATTATTTGGTCGAAAACAGTGTCTACCATCCCGTCCAATCTCCACATTTTCTCTTCTTCCTTGATCACATGGGCTACAGCATTAGCCCAATCTTCTTTCCGTATTCGTTCCATTGCGAGTTCTAATAAACGTTGGACATCAGAAATTTTATATGTCACGTTTTCACGAGCTACGTAACCCTTAATTTGAGCACAAATTAATTTTACCGGGTTTAACTCACAATGGTAATGAGGAAGTCTCAAAATGGTGATGCCTTCAGCACGAGCTATTGTATCCACCACATGCTGGCGATATCTGTCACGATGCTGTTTAATGACACTCATAAGCTCGGCCTTAACCATGTCCTCGGAAAAAGGAATTCCTTTTTGTCCTAACCAACTCTGCATGTCTGCTCTTCTGGTGGTCATAGTTGGCAGCTGTTCTACTAATCGGCTGTGATAAGAAGCGTTATTCATTACTATTACCGAATTTGGCTCGACTCGTGAAAGAAGGGATTCAAACCATCCTTCAAAGCGTTGGGCGTCCATGTCTTCGTGATAATCCCCCGTTTTTTGGATAAAAAAATTAGTGCACTATCGTCTAAAAAGCCACTCTTGCTACCTATATGGGCGACAATTAGTCGTTGACCTTTACCCGTTGGTCCGCGTAACCCTGTTGATAAACCGTCCACAAATGCTTGACGATAACTAGTTACAGTAGTATCTTGCCAGATCTTAGATACTGTGTGACCAGCATTCACCCACGTTTCGTCCAGATAATAAATATTTTTGTGAGCAGAACGCATTTCTCTAATAGAGCGAAGATATCTCCGTCGCCATGAAACCAATTCAATTTTTTTTCTACTACGACAATGTACTTTTGAAGCTTGCACAATCCCAGTAACCTTTTTTTCACGTACAATGCGTTCAATTGTCGATACGGATATTCCCGTTAAAAATGAACGCTGGGCTACAGCTTCCACTTTACGGAGTGTATTTTTTAAATTTTCGTACACTCTACAGACAATCTGCTTTCTTCTAACGACATAAACTTCCGCTTTCTTTGTACATTACTTGGACCTGCTACGGCATCCATCTTAATACTATAAAAATGATAAAATTCAATCAAAATTCAATCAGCTATTTGTCAGTTGTTTAGTTACCTCAAAAACTATTTTTAAGTTGATGTATTTTGAAAAACACTTTATTGTGAGATTTTCACTAGAACAGATTAACAAATCCCCAACACGTGTTTCGCTGCACAGTAGCTTTTTCAAGCGTGTTCACTAACAAACTGAATTCTACATACATTGTGATTTATAGGTATATACTTTTTGAAATATTACTATCTACCTAGAAACTAATAATATTCTAGGAACTAATTAATGACAGTTATACCTGAGTTTGAAGAACATTTATACCTGAGTTTGATAACTAGGTCAACTAATTATCTCACAATAAAGTGTGAATGTGATGAAAATCTATGATAATGTATTTTGAAAAACAAGTATCGGCCAACTCTATCTTATATTTTAAAGTTAATAAATATAACAGTCTATTTAATAAATATAATAAAATATATTTAATAAATACAAAACAAAGTCACCTTCACAAGAAACAGAACACACTACGCCTATGCAGATAAGGACGCTTGATAATGAAGAAACCGAATGACTAGTTATGGCATTTTAAAGACGCAAATATAATAGACTTGCGAAGTGTTGATCAGTTTACCGATGCTCAAAGTATTTAACGAACTGGTTCACCCATTCGCTCGTACATCCTATCGATATGCAGAAGCTTTCTTGTTACGGGGGGTAAATTTTATGAAATCATCTTACTTTTCAATTATTTCAATGGCGATGCATAGACAATAAAAATGACTCCGGTAAGAATTTAGTTCTAACATTCAACATTGTTGCCGTTAGCTCTCAGTTCAATTTGGCTGGTTTTCGTCGATCGACTATGACTTGACCAAGGTCGCGCCCAATACTACTTGCGCTTATCGATCGTTCTAGGTGCCGCGTTGCTTCAAGAATAATTCTACCGGCTTCCTAAGACATTCATCGAGATATATAAGCACTACTAACAGGCAGATGAGGCAAGTCTAGTTGAAAGTGCGGTACGAAGTGAGCTAATAAGGCGATAGACGTCTGAGTTCGGTGAAAGTTTTTGTGTTGCATTGGTAGTGAAATAACGTTGAGTTTATTTGTATAGTGTGGTCAATTATTGTTCAACCCACGGTGAAAACGTAATATTATCACCTTTGTTGAGTTCAAAGTCGTTGACCATGCTGAAAGTATCATGGCCACTGTCATAATTCCAGCTATAAGAATACAAACATTTTATGTATCAGATGCCATGTCTAGCAAGAAGTGCTCCTCGAAAAAGTGTTATTATATTTGAATGAGTTATGAAAGATTATATCTGAAAGGTTGCTCAGGTTTATTCAAAAATAAATAAAAAATTTAGAATATGACAAAGAATGGCAGTACTTTCAGAAGTTGTTATAATCCACTGCAATTTAAAAAAGTATAATTATAACAAAGTATAAATAAGTTATGCAATAAGAAACTGAAATATCGTATAAATCGGGAACCAGTTAGATGAATGCTAATTGAAACATGTAATTACCTATATAATTAAAACTATAGGAGATATGGACATGATTTAACGTTGACTTGAAGGTCAATTGCCGTATTTATATTATTCAAAGAGTTGTAAGTCATGAAAATACTAAAATGACAAAGAATTTTTAATGAATGTTCATCACTGTATCTCTAACAGTTTAAAGGTTAAATCGGTTTGTTTCTTAACAAGTCATGTTACCACTGTGTCATATTGAAAAATTTTATAAATTAAAAAAGCATTGTAATTGTTTTGACTTTTAAAAAATATAAGTGAATTTTCATTTTTCTCAAAAAATATTTATTTATTCACCAATTTTCATTTCGTTCAATTCAAAGTAGTCCCCCTCAGATATAATATACGTGTGCCAGCGTTTTTTCTAAGTCTCGAAGCAGTTCTGATAGGCACTTTTTGGTATGTCCTTGAGCTCTCTCAACGATTCGATTTTTATCTCCTAAATCGTCGCAAAACGCCGTCCTTTCATGGGTCTGTTCAATCTTGGGAACAGAAAAGTCTCAGTTGGCCAAATCTGGTGAATACGGTGGCTGAGACACGATTACAGTGTTTGGCCAAAAAAATACGAACAAGCACTTATGAGTGAGCAGGTGCATTATCGTGATACAAATTGTTCTTCCACAGTACTGGAAGTTTTCTTCGTATTACTGCTCGCAAGCGGCGCAAAACGTCCAAGATAGTACTCTTTATGTTGAACGTACGAACATGTAGCAAGAACTTCTAATGCACTACGCCACGGTTATGGAAGAAAATGTTGAGCAAAACTTTGACATTTAATCGAACTTGGCATGGTTTGTTGGTCTTGGCTCTCATGGGCTCATCTTTCATCGGGGCGATTGGACTTTGGTTTCGATGCCATAACCATCCCCAACCATCACCAGTTACAACGCTTTCGATCAAAACTGGATCGCCGTTGACGTCATTCAACAATTCCTGAGCGATATTCATGCAACGATTTTTTTCATCAAAATTCTGCATTTTTTGAACGCTTTCACGTGCTTCCTGCACAAAATTTTCGAAAAACTTGCATGGCATGAGCCAACCGATATGCCAACATTCTCAGCAACTTCTCTAGTAGTGATATGATGATTCTCCATAACAATTTTCTCAACTTTCTCAGCATTTTCATCGGTTGCTGATGTGATTTGAGAAAAACAATAAAATTAATTTTTTTCAGTTTGGCTTTCAGTCTTCAAAAGGTACACAAGACGACATATTTTCACTCTTGGAAAACCTGTACACCAATCTTAATGAAAGAGAATCTGCGGCGGCCATGTTTTTGACCTAACCAAGGCCTTCGATTGTGTAAACCACATGCTACTTCTTCGCAAGCTAGAAGTTTGCGGATTTAGAAGATCTGCATTACTTTGGTTTGAGACATACCTTTCTCATCGGCTGTAAAATGTTCTATTGGATGGAATTTTATCAGAGGAACGTTTCATTCGCAGTGGGGTCCCACAAGGTTCCGTTTTGGGACCGCTGTTGTTTCTCATTTATGTCAGTGACTTATTCCATGTTAACATAAGTGGTAAATTCACATGTTTAGCTGACGACACCACTATCCTCTGGCATAGCAATACCGCCTCAAATTAACTTGATCAAATCATTTTCGACATAAGAAGGGTGAAAGAGCGGTGTGTGATTCCAATCTTTCATCATTCAACATCGACAAAACAAATGTGTTCACGTTTAGATGTAACATAGGGGAAGTACACTTGGAAAATGTAAACAAATTTTCAGGGCTCTTCATTGATGACAATCTAAAATTTGATTCCCATGTCAACTATTCATGTAAAAGGGATTTATACAGGGATTCATGATGCCGCCCATTATTTGTGAAGCAAAAAATTCTGACCTTAGTATGACTTTTTATTTCAGAAACAGTGTGTCTTATCCACAAAAAATATAAAAATCAATTTAATACCACCTCAACTTATAATACACGTCAGTCTTACTTCATTTCCCTTCCAACACCTAGTCTAGCCTTTACACACAATTCTATTATTTTCAATGGCAAGAAGTCATTTAATCACCTTCCCATTAATTTAAGGCGAATATATAATGAAAAGAAATCTAAAAAGAAAGTAAAAGAATTCCTTGTTGGGAGGCCCTATTATAGTGTGGACGAATTCTACCAAGGCTCTATCGAGTAATTGGCATGTAGCTTTGTGTAATCAAGTTATTGAAATCAACACGAAATGGCTATCAATGTTCATTACGTAGCATTATATATTTAAATTTACTCAATATTCATATATTCATGTACTTATATTTGTATCTGTTCAGCTGGGCTTAATATTGATTAGTTTTTTTTTTACTTGCATCACGTTGAATACTATTCATTCATTAATTCAATGTTTCGTTTCAGGTAAAATGAAGGTGATCGTACTGTTGTCAACTATTGGAATCTTAAATGCCTTACACTGCGACAAAGATTACAATTTTGATAAACGAGGCTACTACATAACCTGTCAAGACCTTTCGAGCGAGCACCTCGATATCCTTCAAAATATCACAATCAACAACGAAATAAGTCTTGAGATAGACAACTCTGTATTATACAACGTATCTTCTGAAATATTTCGAAACGTGGGAGAAATACGTTTCCTTACTATAAAACATTCAATTTTTACATTTTTACCGTCGGAAAGCATATTTAAAACTCTACCCAAGTTAGAGCATATTACCATCCAGAATACTACCTTTCATATGAATGAATATACTTTCTCAGGAATAAATCATTTAAGGGAATTAGTGTTATCCAAAAATGGCTTGATTAAAGTGGAAGAAAGTACGTTGAAGCATTTGGATGTCTTGGAGCTTTTTCAACTGACAGAAAACATGTTAGAAGATACAGCAAACATCGTGATGTGCGAGTTGAAGAACTTGAAATCGTTGAATCTATCAAGTAACTTGATAGAGAGTGTTGATTATTTTTCCACATTATGTGAAAGTCCTACCTCTATGGATTTTAGTGGTAATGGTCATTCATATGCTTCAAATGTGTCGAAAGATGACTATACCATATATGAATTTGATTCGAATTTAGTAGAGTTAGATTTGAGTCACAATAGGTTAAGATCGTTAGGGGATTTGTTTAACACTGTCAAATACGTCCAGGTGGCGAACCTGCAGGAAAACATGTTAACTCAGTTGAAAAATTCCGACTTCAAACTACTTAAAGATTTGAGAGACCTCTATCTCCAAAACAATAATATAACTACTATAGAAGATAGAGTATTTCATGGAAAAAACAATTTGGAACGTTTAGATTTATCTCGTAATGGGTTGACGTTTTTCAGTATAACGGATTTGCCCATGCTGAGGTACCTCAACTTGGGTTCGAACAAACTGAAAGAGGAGAATATCGATGTTATCAACAGTACAAAGACTTTGCAGAAGTTTTTTCTCTATGATAACAATATTTCCGAAGTAAAACCTTATGCGTTCCAAAGATTTAACAAACTTGAATTACTTGATTTAAATGACAATCACATAAAATTAAACAATAATTCGTTTAGAGGTTTATTCGAAATGAAAACCCTTTTTTTGGCGGGTAACCAGATGAAAGTGTTACCAGAAACAATTTTCCGAGATTTGAGGAAATTGAAAACTATCGATTTATCGAGAAATGAATTCAAAGCATTATATCCAGCTACTTTCAATGGACTGAAAAATGTGAAAGTTCTCAATATTTCTCACAACCATTTGGAAGGTTTGGACTACGTTTTACTCAATCCATTGAAGAATTTGCACGTTTTAGATATTTCTGACAACAATTTGCATTATATACAGTACGATTCTATAATTTCTAATTTGCCATCACTTTCGGTTTTGAATATCCAACAAAATCGGTTATCTTGCAAGTTCTTGATTGAAATAGCTGGATATTTGAAACTGAAATCAATCAATTACACAATGCAAGAAAAAATAGATACTTTTCATGAAAATGTAGCCGGTATATTTTGCGCAAACGAAGAGAGTATGGCAGGGCTACAAACTGACACAAACACAGGTCATACTAACCTTTTATTCAATACAGTTATGACTGTGGTTTCATTATTTTTAGTCTTCATTATGGGTATTGTTGGATTCAAAATTTACATTTATCTGAAGAGACGTAAATATAGAGCAGACGAATTCGAATTAATTGTGGAGTAAGTTTATTTAGTGCAATAGTTGATTTAAAAACCGTTAAGGTGACATCACACATCACGAAAACTACGATATGCTCTGTGATTGTTGTGATCTGTGAGTGATATTATTATTTAGCATTGAATTCGATTTTATGCTCGTCACCGTACATAAGTAAACAGAAGTAAATTCACTCCCGTCGGTCTCTTTGATGTTTCGGGTCCAGATTTTATTTTTTGCTGGCATGTGGCGGGGCAGGAGGGCGTCGGCTAAGAGCTGTTGTGCACCTCTGCACGAGGTTCGATCAAAAAATATGTGATCATGATCTGACTTCATCATTGCTACGAGGAGCTCTCAATAAATGTCTCATATGATTGTGAACTTTTTAGGAATTGATAGAAAATAAGACAAGGTGGTGAAATAAACGTATATTTTATATAGTAAGATTATACAATTTAGGACAAAAACTTATGCTAATATATTTCAAAGGTTTTTTAGAATGATGAGTTTTTGATTTTTTTTGTTTTCAAATTTCTATTGGCAAATTTCAGAGTATAATAGATTCTTACCCTTGTGAAAAGAGAAAATAAATGATCCAAAGAAAAATTATCACAGTGGCACATACATTGTTGAAATTATTATGAAATTCTGTCCCTAGACGAATGATACATTGTAAAAATTAATCTGGAGGCACATATGAACTTCCAAACTGTTTGGCTACTGTATTACTATATGCCTAGCCGCCGTGGCAAAATTTGTACATACTTCAAAAGAATGTTTTCTTGAACATTTTCTCAAAAGATATCCACAAACATAGCCCAAGCTGTTGTAATCTGGAGTGGCTAGAGTTCTATAATCATTTGTCTCTACTCTCAAAGGTTTATAGGGATTTTTTGAAACTTCCACAAGAATCTTCATTCTATTTATGTCTGCATCTGTAATACTAGATAGAATATCACTAGTATCTTCTAGACAGTTAGTTCCTTCTGCCTGTGTGAAATACTGAAGAGTAAATGTGTTTTTGAAAGCTCTAGTAATTTGAATAGGACTTGGGTTTCTGGCATTTCCACAAGTAGGTATTTCTAAGTTGACCAAAATGATTTTCCACACAGTCCAGATTTATATTCCTCGTCAATATGTAGGAGTGTCCTTCACTATGTAGGAGTGTCCTTCACTATGTAGGTTTTTCCAAAGTTGCAGAAATGCCGAAATTGTTATCTGTCACCCCCTCAATGAATCTCATTTGTCCAGTCGTGTTTTTTCCTTTTTTTGATATTACAGTTAATTTGTTACAGTCAATCATAAAACAACGATAAAAATAAAAACAACAATGAAAATTAATTGGCGCTCTGAGGCGACTTCATTGATTCCAGTGGCACATATGCTTTTTCAGCTGCAGGAAAAACCGGAAAAACCTGCAGCACCACATCATCTGAAGATCTTGATTTTCCAATGCCCTCTCTCTCATACAACAAAATGTAGGGTGTCTCCAGAGACTCCAATAGATTCAATAGGGTGTCTCCAGAGACTCCAATAGATTCAATAGGTGTCTCCAGAGACTCCAATAGATTCAATACATTGCCAGAATACTTCGTGACACGACTATCGTCAAACTTAAATCAGTCCGTTTCGTCTTTGACCAAGGCATAATAATGACAAAATTCAACGCCAGAACCACAGTGAACAATGACTGCATGACTATTATAATAGTGATCTGCTAGATTGAAATGTTCATCTATTTCGAACCTTCGAAAGAGTTTCTTGCTTCCGTCAGAAGTTGAGTCTTGTTTGAAGATCATCAGTGTTATTATTAGATTGACTGGTGCCTCAGAAAATCAATTTGTTTTGATGTTCTAAAAAAAGTTTTATTGAAATCTTTCACACCGTCAAATCTATTTGAATTTAAAATATCAAACACTTTATCCATGTTTTCAATGAATGTAGCCGTTCCTATTGCTGTTGATGGTATTTGATTGAAACTGACATAGGTATTCATCGCTGTAGCTACCGAATGACTGAAAACTTGACTGGCTAATTTAACCTTCATTCTTTGAAAGTTAGTTGGAAATAAATGAGAATCAGTAAGATTGGGTGCTAGTCTATATTGCTTTTCCTTATCCAAGTTGTAAAGTTGTTCAAGATGACTTTTGTTCGTTGTATATTCATCAAGTTTCAAAAAGTCATGGCAGATGTAAAACAATTTTTTCTCATCAACAAGGAAATATGGCTGCTCTACAGTCACTTCGAATTCTTTTCTGGCAAGTTTATAAAAATTAGAACTTAAATCTGAAATGATACCCCTAACTCTCAATCCAATTTTTGATAATTGCCTAACAGCTTTTCATTTTGTTTTGAATCTTTTTTCTGAATATTTTTTTTATATTATTGGTTTGGTTGTTGTAAATCAAAACTTCAATATTAAATACAGATTTCTTAGTTCTGGGTTGCCTAGTTTGCTAATTATGAAGTGTGTCAATCGAATGAAATTCTTATGTTTTTTATTATTGATGACAGAATCTAAGAAAATACATATTTGCTATTTATAGTAGATTATCCGGAACATATAAATGGAAAGTAGGCTCCAAAAAAAGGTTATTTGAATATACATTTGATACTTTGGTTTTGCAAAGATTTCAATGGAAGTAATTGTTTTCTTACAGATACAAATCAAAACTTGATGTGGTTCCACAATTATTTTCCTTTGTGGATTTCCAGTGGAACTGGAGGCATATACTATTCGTGAAGTTCAATTTCATCAAATTAAATTCATAATAAAAATTCTGCTGTTCGAATGTATGCCTGTTGCCATGACTACTAAGGCATTTGTAGAATGAATCGTTTTTCTGAAATACTTTTTTTTATATTATTGGGTTAGTTGTAAATCAAAACTTCAATATAAAATACAGATTTCTTACTTTTGGGTTGCCTAGTTTGCTAATTATGAAGTGTGTCAATCGAATGAAATTCTAATGTTTTTTGTTATTGATGACAGAATCTAAGAAAAGACATATTTGTTATTTATAGTAGATCATCTGGAACATATATATGGAAAGTAGGCTCCAAAAAAGGTTATTTGAATATATATTCGACACTTTGGTTTTGCAAAGATTTCAGTGAAAGTAATTATTTCCCTACAGATTCAAATCAAAACTTGATGTGGTTCAACAATTATTTTCCTTAGTGGTTTTCCAGTGGAACTGGAGGCATATACTATTCGTGAAGTTCAATTTCATCAAATTAAATTCATAATAAAAATTCTGCATATTAATGACTTCACTATATATGGTCGATAACAATTTATTTTATGATTTTCGTTATATGTTCATTACTTCAATCTTACATAATAAATAATAGAAAAACATACCTTTTTTTCGTCAATTGGAAATCGAAAAAAAAAATGAATGCCGGCAAATTACAGCAACCCACAGCTTGACACTTGCTCATTTTGAAACTATACACAAATTTTTCACAAATACAAAACCACCACTTACAACGACTCACTCTGTAATAATATTCCATGCCTCAACTTGGCTTGCTTGGTAAACGCCTCAGATTCAGTTGGTTGCGCTGTAGTTCGGCAGCGCATAAAATTCGAGGTGGGGAATCTTGACCCAAATATGGCGGAGAGTGAACTTACTGGTGTTTACTTCTATACTGTGCTCTAGTCAAAAAAAGTAAAAAATGGCAATTGATAGTGATTTATTATTTTATTATCTAATCCTACAAAATGTATTTGAGGTAGTAAATAATGTTACTATTAATGTTTTTCTATGAAAATAAAGGTTTCTAAATATCTAACGTGTTTGGTGTTATTTTTAGATATTCTTTTCAATGTTCATTTGTTATTTCAGAGATTTCAAATCATATATTATTACACAATGAAAATCCGAACTAATGAAATTCACCATGAATACTTTGATTGGTATTTCATCAATGATACCTGCTAAATGTTTGTTTTTAAAATTGATTTTGATTGTTTTTATTTCTTTCTGAGTGCAAGGTATGAAATACATTGAGTTACAGGATGGGTTGGATTCAATTATGAATCGATTTTGTGGTAGATTCAAACTCTTTACTCTTTCTGTCAGTGATTTTGGGAAATAATTTCCGAATTCATTTGATAAAGTCACGTTAGTATTATTTGGGTCTTATTCTATTTCAATGTTTTTTGCATTAATTTGCACTAATTTCCAAAGAGATTTGGTTTTATTTTCTGAAGTGAGTAGCTTTTGCATATGTTTTTTGAGATTATTGTGTCATTCATTTTTTTTTTCAATTCATTATTTTCAAATTGTCCAGTGCTATTTGTAAGTCATTGAAATATTTACTTATCTTGGGAGATTATTCAATTTTAATTCTTTGATTAGGGAAACGCGACTGAAAACACCATGCCAAATGATTTATAAAATCATCAAACAGTTTTCAAATACTCATTTCATTTATTATTTCCAAAGTACCCGTCTAATTTTGTTTTGAACTTGTTCATATTGACGATGGAAATATTATGTTGGGGTGAGTATCAGTTATTCCATTCGAATATTTAACTGCTGTGAGCAGATATTCAAAAATCAACTGCCCCATTCGTGAAATCATTTATGTTTATTATATAATCAATTCCAGAAGAAGGCAAATTATTTCCATATAGGGCTCTTCTCTATAGGGCACGTTAGTGATAATTTTTAATTGAAAGGAATCTAAGAGATCTTGCAACAGCTGGTTAACGGAAAAACATATTTTATCAGATTTTTTAAACAAGATCTAGAGTTCTTTTTTGACGTTCAATCACATTTGCACTCATATTAACTTTCGATGGTACTTTTTGATGCACTGTCAAGTCTATCAATTCTGATTTCTTGAATCCAGCTTAGCACAGTATAGAACAATAGATTTGTTGATATCTGGTATAGGGGCTTTGGCAGCATTAAGTTAGAAGAGCTTTTAGAAAGGCTAGAGATCCAACTCCAATAAATTGATGAAATGTAATATCACAGTAGTTTCTAGCCAAAGCATAGCTGAAATTCTGATTTAGAATGTTAAACAGATGGTGAAAACCTCTCTGATCTGAGGGATTCAAGACAAGAAACACAAACATCATCTTTCCTTTAAACAATGTATTCACTATATGTACCTACCTCATATAAAGCATAGCAAAACGTTTCATAACTTACATTTGTAGCAAAAACCTAAAACTACATAGTGGAGACTGTCGGTTTCCTATCATAATTTTCTACTTTAAGTTCAACTCAATTCTCAATATTCAGATTTCTTGATAGTCTTCATAACATCCTTTATTCTTACCAAAATTTGCATTCAACCATTCTTCAGTATCCCATATATATAGCATGTAAAATTAACTCCTTCAAATATTCTATTCTCACTGACCCAACAGTCTCAAATTTCTGTTATATTGTGTATACAAAATCCATCAAAAAAAATCAAACTTAAATTTAATTTCGCACATTTTCTCTTGGTGCTCGTCTTCTCTCATTGAAAATCCTGTCTTCCATTCCATCACTTTCTGTTACAAGTGCTCTTTCAAGAATAATCCGACCTTCTTTATATTTTTGATTATCTTCTGTAGCAAATTCATACATCCAGCCCAATTTGGTATCACATGATTTGCAGCAAACATCTCTTACCTAAAATTCATCAGGTTGAGTTGTTTTCTAGCTGCTTATTCAACAAATATGTACATTAACCACTGTTAAAGTATACTATAAGTCTCAGTGAAGTTAGTAATGGAGTTTATTCATGAAGAAATACAAGTAAGAGTTTTTTGACAACATACATAGTAGGTACTTCAAACTCTATGGTTGATTAGACATATCTAGGGAAAAAAAGGGTTTTCCAAGTCTTGGTAACAACCAGATTATGAATTTCAAGTGGAATACCCCAATAAGAACATTTTTGAACATCAGCTGAAAATCAAAATCAATTTTGTGAAGATGTTCTATATGTATCTCTCACCAAGCATCAATTATTCTATATGTCTTTCTGACCAAAACAAAATAACATATCATCTCCATGAAGATGTGGTAAAATTGCTAGTTATATTGTGATTGTGCTTATGTATTCATTAAATCCATTTAAATAATCTTTAACATTGTATTCACATTTTCTAATGTATAGAAAATATTGTCTTTGCAAAGGCTTTTTAGATATCAATTTACAACAGAAAATCCCTAATGTTGAAAATAAAATACCGCTTAAACAACGTGTCTTTACAGCAAAAAAAACTACATCAGTAAGGTCATGTGTTTTATTTATCCAAACCGTCAGTAATGCAATCAAAAAATAGACAAAATAGACAACAAAATTTTACCATCTCCCTTCAACACAAATCTAGTACACATCTTCAAATCATATTTCAATAATCAGTCTCAATATGTGGAATATCAAGACCTCACTTCACATACCTTTATTGCCACTAGTTCACTTCTTTAAACCATATATCAATAATCGTTCTCAATATGTGGAATGTCGAAGGCATATCCCACAGAGTTTTATTGCCACTAGAGGTGCTCCTCAGGGAAGTAAGTAACAGCATAACTATTTTTTTACTTTTTGTCAGTAGCATAAGTTATAATTTAACTAGCAGCATTCTTGCTTTTGCTGATGAGCAGGAATTATTCAGGAATGTAGCACCTTTGTATGACTGAGCTCTTTCAGGATTTTTCACTATTTGCCTCAAGTATAATAGAAATACCTTTACCTTGAGTATAATAACTACTTCACAAAAATGATTTTGATTTAGAATGGAATCAAAAAATAAATAGCTTCATTCATTAAAATACAACAAAATTATCATTCAAAAGTTTAAAAGTCGTTAAGAATAAAGAGATAATGCAATATGTGGTTAAGGTACTTGTTTTGCTAGTAAAATGATATCATATTGGTTCTATGGAAATGTTTAATAGATCATCGAGTCTAAAATACTCTGTGAACATCATGTAAGCTATACTAAATGATGAACGTCAAGAAGAAAAGTTATGGAGAGAACTTCAACTCTAGACATAAAAATTATAATTCAGAGAAATTCTTTAAACTTCATGAAGAATGTTTGTAATATATTCAAAAGTCTTTGTAAAATTGCTCAAGATCTTTCTCTTATAAGTATACACGACACTGAAATCTATAAGCCCCATAATAATTACTCTTACTTTTTTTTTTAGATAGGAATTTTATTAAAACAATGATAAAAATAAAACAACAATAAAAATTAATTGATACTCCGGGGCGACTTCATCGATTTCAGTGGCGCATTTGCTTTTTCAGCTGCAAGACAACCCAGAAAAACCTGCAGCACCACTCTTACATAAAAGAAACATAAAAATAACTCACCATATGACGTCCGGTGAGCATAACTCTGTCTTGAACATCACTGTATGTTAAATTAACAACTTTATTAAACAAGAAAGCTCTACCAGTGGCTCCAGTAAATCTGGTACTTATTAGCTCTTGCCTATTCGTTAGATTTGTTCCACAATTTGCACAAGAAAAAAGTCTACTTCCACCTATATGTTCTAAGAAAATTCGTCCCATTTTTAGCTCCTGTAGGAAACCAATCATTTAATTTTGATTATAATGGACAATGGAGATTGAATTTACCTGAAGTTTTTTGCCAGATAATTATATTGAAGTATATTCTAGTTAATTCTAATGTAAAAATGAAATTCAAAATCCTTATCCACAATTATTCACCAATTCTGCACTTCTTATAGTCAATGTGAGTTGATTGAACTAGATTAAAACCAGAACAATCAAAATGAAACAACAAAAAACAGCTGAGCTGTCACATCTATTGACAGTATAACTGACACTTCCGACTTTACTGTCAGCGTCAGAACATAGAACTATAGTTCTGTGGTTAGCAAGAGTGTTTTGTTGGCACTAAGATGTATAGAAATACCATGGTATAACCACCGATGCTCATATTTAGAAACGATTCTTGTTCCATCTATCAACTTGTGTATTAAACTGAGTCAATCTCATTTCTCGTATCGAGAATTTTGAGAAATTAAAAGCAATTTGATGAATCGGGGTTTCTATGCATTTTTGTTGACACTAATCTTATTCTAAATTGGGTCAATTCTACCAAAAATTATTAGCTATATTGCTCCATCAAATAATATTGAGCAGAGAGAGCAAATAATTTTTGGCAAAAATGGCATCATCTTGAAAAAGAATAGTACCAAAAAACATAGCTGAATTTTTTGGAAAGGATAAAGGTTTAGCTTTCTACTTATCCATCATTTTACAAAAATGTGGGAAACTTCCGAAGAAAGTGGCCAATACCTGATGAAAATCTATATGATATGAAATGGCCGATACTTGATGGAAATCTATAATTTTTTTCACTTGTAGAATTCAATAAATATGAAAACGATTGATGTTTATTTGATTTAATCCCAGCCTTCTCTTCTGTACTCACTCGGACATCTGACTGTTGACATTTGACATTTATGTCCTTGACGCTCCCTGCTCCTTATCTTTTTGATTCTTTGATTTCTAGTCGAATTGTCAAATATTTCTACTTTACAGAAAATCTGTGAGTAGAAACAAATGGCCCAAATTTTTCTTTAATATGCTTTTCAAGAATCCGAAACCAGCTTATAGAAGGTGGATCAAACGTGGGGCAATAACACTTTTTGTGATAGAAGCAGCTTGTTTTGCAGGAAGTTACTTTATTTGGCAAAGAGTCAACACTGAAAGAGGTATCATGTGAGGATCTTTGTTGTCACAAAAAACTTTTTCTCGTCTTTTTATAGAATATCGAAAATATCTCCACGACAACTATCCCTCAATTCTAGAATTGTATTACAAAACTGGTGAAACTTTAGATCCACTCAACAGGGTGAGACAGAGCGATCAAGCCTGTTGGAAAAAACAAGTTTGATGGCTAGCAGATTGGTGAGGTCAATATTTTGGTTGTGTTCATTATCTGGACTCGGTTATGGATTGTTGATTTTAACCACACCATCGCAATCAAACGTTAATGAATTGAAACAGGTTAGTGTTGAAAATATTGTACTTACTTTTCCATCCATGTCAATTTTGATAGGTTGTTTGTCATTTTAAGTTTGGCATACTAAATAAACATCAAAAGTTATTCCCTCACTTCAGTATAATTTTAAAGGGTAATATTTTGCAATGATAGTATGCATTTGATACATTTCGAATAATGCTACGATATCTAATAACACATTTGTGAATTTTATTTTTATATGAAGCAAACTTAATGTACATTAAAACTGAATAGATTAGGAAGTGCCTAGGAAGCTCTTCTTCTGAAATTTTATTCATTCATATCAACAAACGAGCCAATTTACTATTAATTTACAAATTACCTATGTAAAATCATATACATACAAGGATATTTTTAGAAAGTATTGTACATATTTTTGAAGCAAAATACAGACTGACACCATCCCAATTAATTGAAATATCTCAACTAGTAGTGATTGGTGTATTTAGATAAAACCAGAACCCAGTAGTTTGATATTTTTGAACCAGAGCCTAACAATTCTGTTTTGATCATAGATCTTGTCAGTGGTACTGGTCTAGATCATAAATGTATGAAAGAGCAACTCTGTTGAATGATGCCTCTATTAAAAATCTTATATTAGATTTATCTATTAAGAGAATAAAGACACATTATTTTTATTATTAAATGCAATATTTCAATTCAATAGCAGAATCAATACTCCTGACCGCTCTGGATTGAATTATTCCGTACAGTCTATCTCGTCTTGTGTTTGTAAATCTTTTGCTGGAAAAATCCTCACTTGTTCACTTTGTAGTAAATTTTTAAGAGGTAGCAAAAACGTATGTGACGTTCTGGAACTTCAACTAGCGTTTCCTAATATGACTAATACTCGAAATCAGTCTTGCAAAGCTTATTGTTAAATAATTTGAAAATGGAACTTTTAACAGGTGATGATTGACTGTATTGTCAAACTAACTGACTGTTATAAGAAAACAAGAATAGCTGAGGCACCAGTCAATCTAATAATAACACTGATGATCTTCAAATATGACTCAACCTCGGACGGAAGCACCAAACTGTTACGAAGGTTCGAAATAGAAGAAGACTTCAATCTAGCAGACCACTATTATAATCTTCATGCAGTCATTGTTCACTGTGGTTCTGGCGTTGAATCTGGTCATTATTACGCCTTGGTTAAAGACGAAACGGACTGGTTTAAGTTTGACGATAGTCTTGTCACTAAGTGTTCTGGCGAAGTATTGATTTCATTGGCGCCTCTGGAGACACCCTACATTTTGTTTAATGAAACAGAGGACATTGGCAGATTAAGATCTTCAGATGATGTGGTGCTGCAGGTTTTTCTGTAATTGCCTGCAGCTGAAAAAGCAAATGCGCCACTGGGATCAATGAAGTCACAACATAATCTCTTTCATTAAAGAAATATAATTTTTCTTGCCTTCCTATTGATATAATTAGGCACACTATTTTCAATGAATTCATTACTGATTTTGTAAATCTGTTAATAAATTGATGATCATGAATTTTAAATATTGATAATTACTTTCTTTCAGAAATTGGGTAGTGATAAGCAACCGAAAGAAGCTCTAAGTAAAAATCAACAGTTTATGAACGTTTTGCAGGCTGCAACCAATAACTCAAAACCAATTTACCGATTATCTAAGGAAGAAATTGAAAAAGAACTTAACAGAAAGTAAAATCAGTCCTATTATTCTTCTAATAAAAAAAATGAATGCAATAACAGTAGATAGTGTAACTGATAAAACCAACAAATTGAATTTCCTAACCAAAAGAGAGAATGAGAGAAAACATAACTTACAGAAAAAACGTGAAGATAAATGCCTAACGTCAGCTAATAATGAACAACTAGATTTTTTTGAACGGTTATTCAACGAAAAACACACTTATATAGAGGATATGATCAACCTTTCTAAAAATGTACCAAGGATTGAGTTGTTGAATCATTTCAATATGATCTCGAAGGAAATATTAACTTTGCAGAAATACGTAGCAGCTTCTAATATATTTCTAAGAAACTATGATTTACAGAGATGTCAATTTATGCTTCAGGAGTTAACCTTGAAATCCAAACAGCTTGAAGATGAGCTTCTGCCAAAGAAGAAATTTTCTTTCAAAAATAAATCAAAAGAAAATGGACAGATTAAAATTCCAGAAAAGAAGGAACATTTTGATGAAGTTGATTTTCAATCAAAACGTTCTATTGCAAAAAACTTGTGTGGAATCTTCAATAAAAGTAATGAGGTACTGATATTGACCAATCAGGATATTTTCAAAAAAGATGTCACATTAGAGAAACTGGAAAACTGTAAGGTTTTTTTGAAAGGTAGCCCATCGACTCTACATCTGGATCAACTTAGGAACTGTCAGATATTTTCTGGACCCGTGTCAACCTCCATCTTTGCTGAAAACTGCGAGAACTGTACTTTAGTAATTGCTTGTCAACAGTTAAGATTGCACAGTTCTAGAAACACCATCATTTATCTACACGTTACGAGCAGAGCCATTATGGAAGATTGCAAGGAAATCTCTATTGCTCCTTATAATTGGAAGTATGATGAAATCGAAGATGATTTCAAGAATGCCTCTCTCAATAAATCAACGAATAACTGGACCTGCATTGATGACTTCAACTGGCTGAATGAAAAGCATTCTCCAAACTGGAAGGAAATTGAAGAAAAGGATAGAGTCTCCAATTGGGATGCAATATAGTATTTTGTGAAATAACTTATGTAAATATTGAATTCAATATTTTGTTTTCCTTGTATACCCCTCCAATAACTCCCTAATCATGCTACAGTGAAGATTTCAGTCTTGATATTCTTTTGGGTCCAGTGTTATTCATGACCTATTCAAAGTTGAATAAATGAATGCATTTATTGTATTAGGAATCAACGTGTTAGGAATCACACGTTAAAAGGTAAGACCTCGTTAGTCCCTGGCTCGCACAAGTTTCTCAACTTCTGAGAGTTGTCGTTCGTATGGGAGCGACAGCTGATTAACGGAAAAACATGCTTTAAACAGTTTTTTTTTTAAACAGTATAGAAAATATCCTAATATTCATATATTTGAAGGATACCATTACAAATGACACAGAGCGATTACATTTGAAGATACCCAATATCTAATAGTAGAGTAATAAAATTTCATCACTACTACAGTACATCACTGTTGAATGATTTGACATAGGATTATATATCATTATATACAGAGGCATCATCGCGTCAACATAATTGTTGAGGAAACAGGGGTGACTATTCGACTAAGGCTTTCAATTAATTTTCCACTTTAAATATATAAAGGCTTTTGCTACTTCTTATGTCTTCTGGTAACCTGTTGAATTGATTTGGGTCCTTGTAAAATGAAATTTTCATTGAGAAAGCATCGTGGCAGGTGAAAATTATTTATTTGACATTGAATTTTTTTAAATTGACTAACATTGAAGATTTTGAAAATGAATATCATTGTTTATCTTTACAATACATTTCGAACCGATAGCCACTGCAGTGAATCAATACTACTTTTCAATACTATTAACGGCAAATCTAGTTGTGCTGTACTAGAAAAATTTACATACATGTTCAAAACCGCTCAACTCGACAGCAACAAAAATTTTATGTTTCATTTTATCGTTTAAACCACACATTCAATAGCTGCATTCTCAAAATCTTACGATTAGCCAATAGAAAAATTGATCTTGAGATGTTCAACATCTTGCATAATTTTGAAACTCAAATTACGGAATACTGTGCTTTAATGTTCAGTTTAAGGTAGTATCTTTTGTCGTTTTATACTCTAAATTAACCCCCTTGTAAACCTAAATTAACCCCTTTTAAGATATTCTTAGTTGCAATTTATATTTCAGCACCTTTTTTTATTTTATTTTAATTATAATTTAACTTTGTAGTTTACTTTAAATGGGCTTGCCCGTAAATAAATACAATTATACCGATTACATTTTGAAATCACTGTCATACTACAATTCTGTAATCTCTGCAAAGTTCGTATTTTGCTTGGGTTCAAACCAGAATTGGATAACCTATCAGTGACTGCAAAAAAATGTTTTTATCTTAGAAAGTTCCTGATTTGATTTTTTCACTATATTTTTTTTATTCTTCCACTTTTCTAGCTTTTTATGAGTACCTATTAGAATAATTTTTTCTTCGGTATTCTAAGAGTCATCTTACATTCAAAGTTGCAATTGCGGCTTCCCAGAAACATTAAATTTCTGATGAATTTGACCCAATGGGATATTACTTGAGAATAAGATTGTGGAGAAATTTTAGTAATACATAAATTGTTTAATTTAACAATACAATACTGGCAAGAAACAGCTGAGTGTGTATCCGAAGTACCTATATAAAATAACTATTCCTAAACAATCATTTTTAAACAATTTGTATTTTGCTTTCACAATAGTAGACATTTTTTTGAAAAAGAAATCGTACAAAATACTGTTTCCTATTCAATTTGTTCTCCAAATACTTGTTATAGAATTGAATCAGTTATGGTACACAGAATTGCTACTCAATACAGTATACTAGAGAAAATTTGACTTACATGGAACATTGTCATCCTCAACGGCGGACATCAACGTTTCAGAATAAGACGCATGTCTTATTGCTTCTCCAGCATCAACATGAAATGAAACACTGAATCCATTCATTGTGCCATTATTGGATTTGACTTATTTGTGACAAAAAGTAATGTTATGAATGAATCAAGTGTTTCATCTTGAGGATGACAATATTCTATATAAGTGAAATTTACTATACTGTGTAGCAATTTTGTAAATGATACCTGATTCACTTCCAGTCTTCGAACCCAGCATATTTGAATTTAACACATTACATTTGAATGTAAAATTTCACCACTTTCGTTACATGAAAAAACAAAATCAAATCAACACTTCTTATTTCTAATGAAGTAATTGAATAAAATTATTTCAGTGAAAATGGAAGTCGGCTGTTAGATGACCCCAAATTTAGTATAACTCAGTTGTTGGGATATAAAAGATTTACACATATGTATAAATGTTATGAAGCATTTGGAAGGGTGAGGGTTAACATGAAAAAGAAATCTTTATTGTGACATTTTATAGACAATTTATCTACAGAGGCATTACTATTTCTCTGACGAGTTCAACCCAAAACTGACAATAGAAAAAAACAATTAGCAGTAAATGTTCAAACGTTATAACCAACAATATGGCGTTTTCCGATGCACTCCCCAACATAAAACCAACACAATACTTCAATTCCGACAAGGGTGTTTATCCACGCTTCTTTAACAGTGAGGTTTTTCCAAGTGCCATTCCTTGCTCCACTAATCAGACGGCCTATTCCAGCCCGTATTTGTGGAATGTCTGCTGGAGTTGGAGGTACAAGTTCTACTCTAGCGTATTTCATGAAAGTGTTGAACCTAGGTCGTCCTTCCTGAATAAGTTCTGTGAAATGAAGTGGAAAACATTATTTTAGCTATTTACAATAGTGTTATTATATCAGTTATTTAGCAAACTAGAATGCAAATTATATTTAATGTTTTTATTTAATTATACAACATTTGAACAATTTTCGGGGTTAGTGATTACATAATTTTAAAATGTTGATTTAATCTAAAATAACTCACTCCCTGCTAAAACTGGAACTTGGGCAATCAATTTCGACATTTTCGGTGAATGATAGTATTGATTTTATTTTAGAAATAAGGAGTAATCAGACCTTCAAGAATGCCCTTACCACAATTTGGAATTGAATGACAACTGTCATTTGATTTGACAGCAACGGAGTAGCCATTGCTTCTTTTCTTCTTCTCTTTTTTTGTGGTCTCTGCTTCCCTTACGGCACAGTGGACCAATTGAAAATGATGATTGGTACATATTTGAACTACAGGGGAAATGAATATTAGAACCGATTTGAAGTTACCTCAAATGTGGAAAATGATTGGAAAAAATTACATGAACCATTCAATCATCAAGGGTGTAATTACATACAATTTTAACAAAACTATTCGTTTTTACTCCAAATTAAATGAGCGCGAATTATGGATGTGAGATCACAATTAAATTTCACAAAAGGTCGAGATTTTAATGATGACACTCGCCCTGGACGCCCCAGTACAACAACAACCAACGAAAATGTTGAGAAAGTGAAGAAAATCGTGGAGAATCGTCGAATTACTATCAGAGAATTTGCTGATAATGTCGGCCTATCGGTTGGCTCATGCCATGCATTTTTTTTTTTAATTTTCCCAATACTGTATATTATGTTTGTAAATCATCAAACGCTTACTTGAATTTTTCCCCCTTTTTTTTCTTTCGAATATTCTGTGAATGTATTACTATTACGATATGTATATATTGTCTTTATTCAACATTTTCATCCCAAGATTGTATACTGTCCTTTATTTGGGTCTAGTGTCTGGAATTTTTTTTCATATTGTTTGAAGACATGGCACAACACTGGAATTCTAATTTTTATTTACAAACTTAATAGATTCCAAACTTGCTTTATAAAAATGATAATTTTTGGTGATATTAAACTGTTTCTGTTTAATTCAAAAAAGTCAAATTTACTTCTCAGAGCTAAACTTTGTATACAGGATCCCTGCTTTAGATGACATATATCAAATAATTGTTCTACAAGCTTAAATAATAAAATATATAACAATTATTATAATAATTATACTTTGAAACATTGAATTGTTAATATAAAGTAACTAAAAGAGTATTTCCGAGTCTTGAGTTTACTTTTATCCCTAGCGATTTTCATTGCAAAACTTTCGGATTTGAGACCTTGAATATCCTAGGCAACATTTCCGTCAGAGAATGAAATACTTGATTCGAAATCCCAGGTGGAAGCATGAACTGTAGATTTTTTAAATCAGAACCTCCCCAAGAAGCCATCTCTATCATGAACCCTTTCACACACTTGAAGACTAATTCCGCCCTTTTCTCGCACCAAGAAATGGTCATATCTTCTGTCATTTCATACTGCAAAAGCAATGGAATAGTTAAAGATGTGATATCATTTGAGCAAGCAGTTTTTAGTATATTCCTCAGTCCTAGTACCACAGGATGTCTACTGTTTATGTCACTTCCCCGCAAACTGTCATCCGAAACCATGTGAAAAATAACATGGACCTGAGCCAGGTTTGAATGCCTAGTTATGTAGAAGTCGCCGGGAGCTAAAAGTTCACTGTTTGACTTTCTACTTGTACTCCGCTGCTCGCTCTTCAAATATTTTTGTGCTATACTGGAGATTTTATTCAGCTGGTCTTCGACATGTGGGAAGTGGAACTCGGTTGAAACCTGGCAAACTTCTTGGAACTCTTTGGTGATTCGAGAACCTATTTTATTGTCAGCCAAGAGTACCAAACCAGATAAATCATTTGAATAGAGAGCCAAAGCAGTTTGGAGCAGTTGTGGAGTAGGTTCAGACAGTTGCCTATTATCCTCAATAGAGCAAAGATTCATCACACTAGCAGATAAAATGCGAATATTGTGCATCTGTTTCAGTTGAGATCCTAAGTGAATAGTAAAGCTTTCCTCTAAAATTGGAGTTTCCATTAGTTCTCTGTCGCAGCTGTTAGGGGGTATTAATATCTCTGGAGGGGTAAGAGGAGAGTTCGGAGTAGGAAGAGAACTGTTAGTTTGATTATCTTCAAGCATCTGCATCAACCACTCACGATATTCTCTTCTTTGAGCTTCTTTGATCGTATCCAACTCGCTTGTTAGTTTTCCCTGAAGCAAAGCATGAGCCTCGTAGTGCCTTGCCACCAACTCATTAATTTTAGTTTCAGTCATGTCTTTTTCTAGTCTATCAACGGCATTGTTCATTTCCTTGCTCTGACATTCTGAGAGTTCTTGTATCAATCTGTTTTTCTCCTCAGTTTTTCGTCGAACAGTTTTAGAATACATGTGTTCTAATTGAAGGATTGTCTCCAAGGCTGGAGAGTGAACCATTTTGTGGTATGCTGTTGCAAAAAGTTCATCATCAGAAGCACATCTACGTTCTCCATATTCAGACATTTCTTCCTTCATGACCTTCTCCCATTCTTTGGTGACATCCTCTAAATTGATTTTGTTCTCTTTAGCATCATTGATCAGTTTCGAGGTAGCTTCATTAAAGTATTCGACACTTCTGTCTCTGATGAATGACAACAAGTCTTCGGAAAATTCCTCCTCACAATATACAGGTAAATTATATTTTGTTAACAGTATATGTACCAATTCACTCAATGGTTCTTCACACGGTATTACTATATTATGTTCAATTCCGAATTCAGGGTTGATATATATGTAGGATTTCTTTAAATGGGGCATGACTACTCCAATAAATTGGGTATGAGGTTTTCTAGTTCTTTCAATGTCTCATACTAGATTAGGTGCACAATCAGGATCCAAAGAGATTTTTTTTCCGACAAAAAAATGTTTAGCACCAACTATTAATTACCGAATCAACAACAGTTGCAAAAGTTGTTTATATTTTTTTAACTAACCTAACCTCAAATTCACGTCACTGTCAATTTTTTGTATCGCGACTCACTAATCTGTGTTAGCTTTTAGGTTTGTTCTGACCATCGATGCTTTAGGATTGAAAACTCCTACAGCTCAAATAGAATAACATCATCACAGATGATTAATCAGACATTTAAGGATATTTTGTATAGCTGTTGCTGTTTTTGGGTTTTACCAGATTTTGTAACAGCAGAAAGTTTTCATGTATTAGCATATCTTTAATTCATTAGAAAATTGTTTCACAAACTATAAATATAATTTACCATTCCAGCCAAATCAACTCGACAATATTTTCATAGTATTTTGAAATTGACACAATTCTTTCATGAACCAATTTTAATAAATCAAACACTGAAGCGAATCCTAACAGTTTTTTCACAACACATTAGTGAAAACCACATCAAAATCGGTTAACCGATTTCGAGATTATCTCTCACAAATACACAGTCAAACAGACGGTGATCAGTTTCCCACATTTTTCATATGTATTGATTCACTTTCTTCAATTTTGATAACATTTATGTTTTCAGTTTTTCATTCTTCGTACTTTTGATTGACAGATTCAAAACTTTCATTTCATTGTTCAAAATTATTCTTTGAGTCGTTTCAATAAACATTTTGGCAGGTTTCAATAGAGTTGAACAATGTAAACAAACGAAGTCCGAAACACTATGTTGCAAATATTACCTGATTAGGTTAAAAAATTCACAACTTACCCCAAAAATTGTCACTGGTTCCTTCCTTTCACCCAAAACGTTGGCAATTAGGGAAAATAGGAAGGTGAAGTAGGAAAATGAAGGACATATGAATTTTAATCGGAAGATCTTCCGATAATTGTTCCCCAGCAAACAAATAATTAAATTCAAAATGTATCACGAACCGATTGATCAACCAATAATAATACACCATAAGTTCCGTCTCTCGTAAACGTAAAGAACATACTACTTTTTCCGACCAATATGGTTTGTTTTCCTTATTTCGAAAAAAAAATGCGCAGTTGCCGAACTATATAATTTGTACCTGTATTTACAAACTTCGAACGATACGGAACACACTATACTTCGTATCAATGAAGGAAGTCCAAGTTATCGTTCTTAGCATGCTGTCCGGGACCACAGAATTTTGGAACCCTTCTAAGGTTAGAGTGACTGACATAGGAAAAAAATAGTCGGACATAACCTCATATTTAGTTTGATGTTTTCTTTGCTTTGAGTATCTTGCTTCTTGGAGGCGTGTGACAGGTTGACAGGATTAAAAATTTTTGAAAACAGAAATGCCATCAACATCTTTGAAATGGCAAATCGCTTTTGGTTTAGGAGCGGCGGGAGCTTTAGGATTAGCTTATTGGTACTTGAAAACCAACAAAACCCAAACGATACAAACCGTCGAATCAACTATAGATAAGGAAAAAGAAGAGACGCCTTTTCAAAAAGCTCAGAGGTTTAAAAGTGAAGGTAATAACATGTTTAAAAAGGGGAAATATGATGAGGCCATCAATCTGTACAATCAGGCCATCGATACAATCCCAGAAGAATTCAAAACTGATTTGTCGACTTATTACCAAAATAGGGCGGCTGCCTATGAGCAGTTGAAGAAATGGAGCGCCGTGATTTCAGATTGCACCAAGGCTATTGAACTCAATAACCGCTATGAAAAAGCCCTTTATAGAAGAGCTAAGGCTGAAGAAATAATCAAAGATTGGGAAAATGCCCTTGACGATATAACATCAGTGTGTCTATTACAAAACTTTGGGAATCAAAATGCCCTCTTGATGGCTGATCGTGTATTGAAAGAACTGGGAAAAAAGAATGCTTCCGAGGCAATTAAAACTAGGAAACCTGTCATACCTTCAAAAAGTTTCATAAAAACTTACTTCTCGTCTTTCTCCCATGATCCTGTTTACAAAAAACTGTTGGAAACTACTGATCCTTTAGGTCTGGGTGATTTGAAGGGTAAATATGTATTTTACTGTATATGTGGTAGAACAGAAAAAGCAGGCAAAAATTTAATTTTTCGAAGAAAGGTCATTCTGCGTAAAAAAATTTGATTCCCAAAGAAATAAGATTCTAAATACAAAATAAAAAAGAAATTTCTTGCAGGGTGCTTTAAAAGTATAAATTTAAAAATTTTGCAACCCTAAAGTACCCTTATTTTAAAATTTATAGCTAATAGCTAAAGCAAACAAATTATTGTGACCTGAAATGAAAATGATTTAATAAATGGGTTAACAATAAGTGAAATGTCAAGTAATTATCAACGACAAGATAAATGATGGAAAATGCAAATGAAATGAAAAAAAAGAAATAACAAATGTACTTCATGACATTTTGATTGTTAGTATACACATTGTCTTCAGGCGATCCTTTCCTATTAGTTTCCAGTTCAGTGAAATGCAGACCAGTTTCCCACATGATTCGTGGTTTCCATAAGTTGCGTATCTCCACACTTGCCTGGCTAAATGTGTTATTTCAACATATATGTAGTTTTTTTAAACTTCCTTTCAAACCGGTCTTTCCTGCGGCTGATTTCTGCTTTGGACCACTTGATGTTATATCGAAATTAAGCTAAAACCATTAATAGGGAGGAATATCGGTTTGAGAGAAAGTTCAAAGAAGCTGCATACAAGTTGAACAACAATGCATTCAGCCAAACTGGTGTGTAAATACACAATTTATTGAAACATCTAATTAAGCGGCAAACGGTCTGTGTTGCACTGAATCAGAAACTTAGAAGAGGGAGGAGAGCGTTGAGAGAAATGAAAGGGCACAAATGACCTATTAAAGTCACAAATATCATAAATAGGCCAGTTATCACTCAAAGATGATTGTGGATACTAGCAATCAAAATTTTGTTTAGTAACTTGATTCAAATCCTTTTCTTCATTTATTTAATTTTTAATTTGTTTGCATTTTTTCATCATTTATCTTGATTGTTACATTTTTATTTAATGTTTGTTTGTTTATATTTTGACTTTTCACTTATTGGTAACCTATTAGTTCATTATCAATTCAGGTCACAATAATTTGTTTGCGCTTCACAAATAAGCTTTCTTACATTTTTGGAATTTTTATATTCATCAGTTTTTCTTTTGGTCTACTCCTTTCTTTTTCAACTAACTCATTCGAATATTTTGGTTCGATAATTTGTAGAATTTTTAATTATTTTAATCAAAAGTGATAACTATCGAGGAGAGATACATAGGTATAAGGAAATAAATATTTCGAAATATTAATCTCTCCCAACTACCTACACAGTAGGGTGTGATAAACGTCTATTGAAAAATAACTACCTCCTCGGCTAATACCACGCTGGATATTGAATTATTTCCGACAGACATTTATGCAAAATTCCTCACAGAGGCTAGTCTCGCAGTTGTTTCTCATTCATTCAGCAGCATCTTTAATTTTTTTTAATATTCCATTCATTTTCATTTTATTTGTTCTTCCATAGTTTTTAAATCTGTTAACACCTTTATAGACAACGGACGTCTGAACTTGTAACATTCACCAAGAAACACTGTCAATCACTTTCAAACAAACATAGAACAAAATTATGTGGCATAACAATAATAATATTTGAATAATATGTATAATTTTATTTTTTTGCATCTACATTTGCTTTGAAATATGAAATATTTGGTTCGTTTCTCATCTTGTATACCATCTACCATGTATCTATCCTGATGGAGGTATTATATGAATCTATTACCATAACATTCGATATTGAAAGTCTTGAATTACTCAGAAAACTTGCTGGAATAATTTTTCTGTATAAATTACTGCACAACAATGTGGATGCTATGGAGGTGTTATCTCTTAAAAATTTCTGTGTGCCTCATTTTAGACCTAGTAGTACAAAAACTTTTTTCAGTCGACTGGCCAGAACCAATTTGTACCTCAAGTCACCTATCTTTAGCAATAACTTCAATTTAATTTCAAATTTATGTGATATCAATTTTCATTCCCTAGAATATAGTGTTGAAACTGCATCTCAGTATTTCATGAATAATTTTTAATTTTCTGGTATAGTTTTTTTTATTTTATTATATTTTCATTACTCATTTTTTCAAATTGTAAATTTGTAGTTATAACCACCTATATTACTTTTTTAACAAACTTAATAATAGCTATTATTATTATTACTACCGTATAAATAAATATTTTTATTTATTTACGTTTCTGTGAAATACATATTTCAGGATTCCTCAAAGCCAAATTAGCATTTGCAACTGAAAAGTATGAAGAGGTTATACCAGCATGTACAGAGGAACTAAATTTAAGTGAATCTGAGTCAAGTTACAAACTAGAAGCACTCTCACTAAGGGCATCCTTTTATTTTCTGACGGGACAATTTAAGGAAGCTGAAGAGGATCTGACTGCCATCATCGAAACTGAAGATGCAGATCCTTTAATAGTCGTGAATTCACTAGTCAAAAGGTCATCAATCAAAATGCAGACTGATAGAATTCAAGATTGCCTCGCAGATTTTGATAAAGCAGCTGAACTGGGCCCAAATGTGTCAGGTACGGTTAGTTCAATTCATTCAATTCAATTCTGAACATACTTTGTCAGAAGACAAATTATTTTGGACCAAATGTTACGTAGTTTCGTCAACTACTTGTAGAATTGAACATACTTACACGTGATTGTGTAAAACTAACTAAAAACCTAAGCTAATGCTTGGGCGTTTTATCAGAAACTTTTTAATATCATAATACTTTGAACAAAACATATTTATTTAATTATTCACACCAAAAAGTTATTTGAGTCTAGCTGTAACAGTTCTGCGTCACTATCAACTAAAGTTTGAGATCAACTGCAAATGTTAGATAATAGCTGTGGTTGTATAATTGGACCTATATGCGATCCTTGAGGAACACCAGATGTAACAGAAATTTGTCATGATAGGAAACCAGCATATTTAATATGATTCCTAATCACTGAATAACTCTTTATGCTTTTTAGGTAACTCCATCTTGATACAAAAACTTTCTTTCCCAAAAATTAATTACTACTAAAAATATAACCCCTTCAATTCAAACTCTTTATCCATTTTAACATGTTAGTGTTGATGCCTAATGCTAGGCTAGGAGCTTAGCCATGAGAAAATCATGATACACCCTATCGAAGTTGATATAAATAAAGCCAACCTGGTGTTTTTTCTTTATATTCTTTCCATCTAACTAACAGAGTGCTCCAAAACATATCATGCATAGTGCACTTGATCTCCTAGACAAGGCAGCTTGTACAGAGTCACATTAAGGAACAACTGAAGTTTTATTTTTTTTAATAATATGCGGCTAGGTATAGGAAATTTTTTTAGGTGGAGAAATTGCTACACAAAGTAGCAATTTCTTCAGCAGTATCAGTACTTGACATTTTGAAAATTTTAAACTTCAAAATACCGTATATGTGCACACCACAGGCGTTGAAACGTAACTCACCACTCCGACTCTGTAGCGATATACCTGAATGAATTATGCCAGCCGATTGCAGTTGAATCTGATTGACCAGCATAAGGAGGCTTTTTATTTTACCCAATAGATGCAAATGTGCATGGTGATCATGATTTGTGTATTGGAGTGAGAAAACTTTGCTTCCAGAATTCAGATAAGGATCCCATGGATAGAAAAAGATTAAAAATTGTTTGTAAGGGTTCTGCTAAAGTTAATGTTTAAAAAAACTAGAAGTGAACCTTCTTTACATTTACATAAATTTCACTAATGAACATTTATCACAATCCAGAGATAATATATGTATGGAACTAAGATGATAGTGTATCGAATCATGTATGAAATCTTAAGCTTTATTATCGTAAACAATTCAATGTATTCAAATTATTTTCAATTAGAAATACCCCAACTTGCAGCTAGCCTTAGAGTTTCAACCTACCATCTTTACTCAAATTTGAATGTTTGCGTACAACTTTACAGTAGTTAATTCAAATGAAATCAAGAGATTTAAAAAAATTGTGAAAGTGTTTTCATCGAATGAAAGCTTCTACTCTCCTGAATAATATGTGATTGTATTCATATAAATTTTATTATAAACATAATTATTTGTGGGATGTTTTTCATGCAATCTTAATTTATGATGAATCTTGTAATGCTAATATATAGAACTCTATGGGATACCATAAAATAACTCAATGTAACCTTGTAACTAACTATATGTAACTTTGGTTTCCAACAATGTCAAGTTTTTTCATGAGAGACATCAATAATTTTTTCAGATGTTTATCACCACAGAGGGCAGGTCAAGCTGTTGATGGAGAGAACGGATGAAGCCAGATCAGACTTTCAGAAAGCCGTAGAACTGAATCCAAATTTTGCTGTAGCTGTAGTACAAAAATGTTATACAGATTATCGATATGCCATGCAAACCCAAGATGTAGGCATCCTTATGCAGAGCATGAGAGACTTCCAGGCAGCCACTGAGAAATTTCCTGATAACCCAGAGACTTTCATCCTGTTTGCTCAAATCAAAACGGAAAAGCAGGAATTTCAGGAAGCGGAAGAATTATATCAGAAAGCTTTGTTAATCGATCCTCACAATGCTTCAATATATGTTCACAGGGGACTTCTGCTTCTGCAATGGAAGGGCGAAATTGAAAATTCAGTAGAGTTGATGAGACAAGGGATAAGAATCGATGAAAAGTCTGAATTCGCCTACGAAACCTTGGGTACTGTAGAAGTTCAGAGGTAGGAAGAATATTAAATTTTGTGTCACATACATCAAATAAAACATTTCGTACTTTTTTAGGGGTAACTTGGTATTAGCTATCGAACTCTTCAACAAAGCCATATCATTAGCCAGGTCAGAAATGGAAATGGTGCATTTGTTTTCTCTTCGAGATGCTGCCGCTTCTCAACTGAAGATTTCTTCAAAATTGGGTGTTGGTCCAGATCTTCTTAGAGGAGTCTCATAATAAGTTGTTTTTATTGTTTTGTTGGTTTTTCATGTGTTATGGAATGAAATTACAGTGAATTCAAAGAAATGGTTGAATGTAAATACAAATCATTCCAATATAGTAGTAAAAACTTTGAATTTATTACTTTTCCACTGAATTATTTTCCACAGCCTCTTTTGTGTTTTACATAACTGAATGTGTTTTCTCATTTATGGAATAAATGAATATTTGACTGATATCACTCTATAGTTTAACGAATTGGTAAAAGTAATCTCATGCCAAAATATTATAAAGAAAAATTTCTGAGAACCGTTCATCTAGTCTTATAATATTGTCTTGAGCTTTACTTTAAATTATTTAGCTATTACTATCTTATAATTATTGATTTTTCATGTGCAAACTCAATTTCATTTACATTAAAAAAAAATGTTGCTTTCAGAGGGCATATTGATAATGTTTCACTAGGAGAATGTTCAAACAGATTTTAAACAGAAATTGAGAACAAACTTGATACAAAATTCCTTAGGTTACACATTGATAGAAGATTGAATTTCGATAACCATATTGAGACCCTCAAAAGCAAACTAGCATGTGCAGTTCAATGAACTCTGATTGTCCTATGCAAAGATGGTTTATCATCACCCCCTTCCGGGGGTTTTGGTAACAACCACATGCAGGTCATTTCAATCTAATGAAAATGGGCAATAAGATATATGTGTTAATCAAAAAATCCAGATTCGAGTATAAATTTCTGGCAGTAGTAGTATTATTCATATTGGAAACTGCATCCCTGATAAGAAAATAAATTATTAGCTTTGTAGCTATGAAGCCATCCAAACAAATTATAGTATACAACAATCTACAACTGGAGACGAGGAAAATTAAAATCTTAACAATCTTTAAAAAAAGCATATTTCAAATCATATTTAATTCCAATACTAAAGACAGCTTGTGTTAGTGTAATTACCCTAATCTGATGTAGCATCATTTACTATTTTCTAACTAATTTCGTATTTTGTTATCTGTCTCGTTTTATATTATTTAGGTTTATCTTTTACGACTGATGTGTGTTTTGTCAAGTGCTATTAACATAAGATATGCTTTGTCAATAAAAGTGTTTATTTCTGACCGGGATATTATAAGCTTATATCGTCATAGTTACGCTATCAATAAAGAGGGTCATAACTCCCTTGGGACATTATAGATTTTCTAATTCCCTCTACCTTTCACAAGTAAAAATAAATAGAAATGAAAACTGAACCATATTTTATTTATTCACGTCATTACAAATAATAAATGTACAATTTTGAAATGTTTGGCCCTCGGGACGCAAACTTTGCCATCGGTAATTAAGGCCCTCCTAATTCCCTTGATACATAAATAACTATTATTCTGACCATAAAGAATATTTCTTTCTCTCTGATTGATTAAACATACAATCGAAAATGACATCATATTGAAAATGAAACAATTACAAAAACACACATTTGATCTGACTCATCAATACTGTTCAATCAGTGGCCACAATTTTTTTTTGTCTATTTGTAAAGGATAAACAGATGAATATTTGTCGGTCTTGTATGCGAGTTTTATGTGTCTGATAATTTAAAATACATTGTTCGAAAATGTGAGAAATAATCTATCCAAAAGCAGTAGGTGTTACAACCATATTTTTATCATTATTATTGACAATTAGGAAAAAAGTAAGACAGTTTTTCATTTCATTTACTTTAATATCATTATTGTATTAATATACAATTATTTAGAAGGACGGTGCAGAATAAAAATTATATAATGTATAAACTAAATAACAAAAAAATGTACATATTTGGAAGGCACTTTAGAAAACGACAACCTATTACACTCCGTGAATCACAAGAGACAGCATACCATTCTGAATAAAAGAATTTGCTGACCAGTTCAAGTATATTTTGTTGAAAATTCAATTTGAGGATACAATAATCAGTAGTAGTAAACAAATAACTTTTTTTGAAAGAGTCAACCCTCCAGTGATTCACATAGGAATGAAAAACTTAACGGAATAAATAAATATGTTTAAATTTATAAATACAGTATATTTACAAAAGCTTTCTACATCACAATTACTAATGTCAAATATGCAAGCCGTGTTACAGAATAGAATTGTGACAATCCCTATATTTGAGATTAGATGACGAAATATTCTCATTCAACATAATAGTGAAATTAGTTGATAATTTATCAATTCACCTAAGATTCAGAATATAAGAAGAGAAATGTTACAAAACATTAATTTTCAACTCATTAAAAATTTCAGAAGCATTCTGGGGTTAAAATTGGAAAACTCTAAGGATATTTTCCTTCTCGAGTAATTTTCAAAAAATTATTTTTAATAAGATAGAAATTTAACTATTCACTACACAAAATGTGTCGAACAATATAACGATTACTTGGAAAAATATTCAATTTTTAGACAGATATATAAACAATATATAAAATGTTTTGTTTTCCTGAAAAAAAAAGGAAACCTTTTTTGGGGTCACTCTCATATTATGTGAAAACATCATCTTTTTTCAAGCACTCAGCAATCAACCTCAAGTAATTTCTGCTGCCTCTAAGTCAACGTTGGATTTTTGACATTAGCTTTAGTAAAATATTAACACAACGTTAGGAACAAGCATCATTTCTCGATCTCAGAGCTGAAAGTTAACTGATGTATATATGTGTATGGTGGTATTCATTGTCTAAAATTACGAAAAACCTATAAAATATAACATCATATAGAAGTCAGTTCCAAGATACAGAAATACATTTAAACAATTATTCCATGCTGGACAGTCGAACTGTCACATAAGGTACAAGGTTACTTTAAAGCTAGTGTAATATCAGTGTTTACTTTGCTGCGTTTTTATAGAAGTATACCCATACAATTTCACATAGAGCAGATTTTTCACATAAAAATTTATAACAATGCATCTCGAAAGAAGGAAAACACAACCAAAAAATAATGTTACGATACTTCTTCATCAGTGCTTATGAATAAATAAACGAACAATATTTGATATACTTTAGTTGATTATTGAACTTGTAGAACTTAATATTTATATTATTATTTGCCACTAAAGTATTGTTTCGAGTCAAATTTTCTATGGATTTGTACACAACCCCAAATATTTTATTTTATATCTATTCGATTCATGAGCAAATCTAGAGAAATATCAGCACAATTAGCTTTTGATTAATAAGTTTTGAGTACGATATTTTCAATAATATCAAAAATATAACATTTTCTTTTTCATTTCAGTAAAAAAATCCATAGAAAATCTGACAAAGATGCTAGTCATATCAATATACTTAAAATTAGTTTACTACAAATTAACTTCCATTTTGGTTATTTGGTTCGTTAAAACAAAAAGAACAACCACTGAATATAATTCCAGGTAGTTGAAATGAAGAAAAAATAGCAACACCAAAAGGAACCAGAGAAAAAATACTAAGTTTTAGATTCTGGATTTAAACACACTTTGACAACATATCAATTACTTATATTCAAGTTGAGAATCAAATAAAAAAAAAACGCAATCATTCACAAATCTAAATGGTGTAAATGAACGAATCCAGACGAATATAGGACATTGAACAGTAATAAAAGTAATCCATTGGTCAAAGTGTCTTTAAAATATTAAATATATCACAGATTGTTCAGATTACTTAAAATATTTCTGCAGTGAAACTTAACAACAATGAGATCACCATTTCAATCGGCTTTCACTATATTTATTGTGAATGGTTTTCAATATTCAAAAAGTATGAAAGGAGTGGATCCAAAAGGATATTATTGGGTGTAATAAAATTTGTTGAAGTCTTAAATGCACGAAAAATCACAAAATAATCTCATTAATTGCTGTTGCACTTCTTGTTCGGAATCAGTCATTGTACAAAATATTTTAGTCTATTGGTTCAAATTCTTTGGGATCCTGAAAGGCCAGTTCTATAAAAATTTTGTATATAGTTCCTGTATAGTATATAAAATGGATTTTGTTCTAATATACAATATGTAATGTACAAAAGTTGGTGAGGGGTACACAATTATTTGCTACACACTGCAGAAGAGTAATGGACTAAATGAAATTTCGGAATCAGACTGAACCATACTAAAATATACCATTATAAATTCTTGGTTGTATCAGTTGAGCGTTATTAGAAACTCAAATATCAAAGTTGCCCGTAGGTAATGGTCCCAAATGTTGGCTAGGCAAATTTGCTGAATCTCTTTTTCAGGACAGTTGAAACAAGCTGAAATATTAAATAACGAGAAGGCAGCAAATTCAAGGCAATATTCAGTACTAACAGATCAGTTGAGCTATCTTCAACACTATTTAGTGCATTTCAGAATTTGACAAATTATTCACAACGCAATGAAGAAAGAATCATTTCCGATCCATACAACGGTGAAATGCAAAATAAAAGAATTTTTGATGTAGTTTCTATTTCACTTCAATTACTGAAAGTTTATAGTTGTATTATAACGGAGGCCATGTAGCAGAGGCAAAGAATGAAGTGCAAAGCTTGGCCTCCACGACAGGTTGGCTTTTTCAACTTTCACAAAAATGAATAAATATAAAATCTATAAATCTATATATCTAAAATTGATAGTCAAAATGTTTTGATACGAGTTACTGGCTTATTATACTCTGTCCATCTAAAAAATGGAGTGATCCAAAACATTATCATGCATAGTGCACGTGATCTCCTAGACAAGGCTGCTTGTACAGAGTCGCACTAAAGAACGACCGATTTTTTTAATAATATGTGGCTGGGTATAGGATTTTTTTTAGGTAGAGTGTAGAGACACAAATTAACAGTTTATTCAGCCGTATCAGTACCTGACATTTTGAAAATTTCAAACTTCAAGATACCGTTAATTAACACCCGACACTTAAACAATGAATTTCGCCAGCCGATTGCGGTTAAATCTGATTATCCAGCGTAAGGAGGATTGTTTATTTTACCCAATAGATGCAAATGTGCGTGGTGGCATGCTTTGATCACGCATCTATCTTTTTTTGGGTTACTTTGTTGGATGGAAATAGTTTAGTTAGACCCAACAAGAGTTTTGCAGCAGATGGTTTACAGTCTACGAGCTTTTATAAAAAAACGAAGGTTGATGATATTGAGATATATGAAAAAACATCTTTGTTTTTAAAATAAATACATTTTTTTTATACTGATATATCAATTCATCCTAAAAACATAATTTTGTTTTTGATTAGCCGTGTGAGTTTGAAAAAATGGTTTCATGTTATAATTCTGGTTTTCTTCAGCTTGCTAGATAATTTGTTTAATAAATTGATTTTTGGGTACTGTTTTGGCCTTTGATAAGACATGTGATATAGATTCAATGGTCCAGACTTATATAACTGACTTACCTACCAATATTGTGATAATTTATAAAAGCGGAAATGCTTTATGATGAAAAATATCACTGTTTATCTTTATTATCATTAACCATCAAATCCCAAAACGCACTTCCAATATCACAGTATATATACTAAAAGTGTTTTATAACATCATTCATAGAATTAGGAAATGCTGATTTTTGCCTAAAGGCGAGTGACAGTTAACAGTTTTGATAAGCAAATTCCAAATGAATTTAAATCTTCTTATTTTCTGATTCACCCAGCAAATTTTAAGGAAGTAACTCTATGATTTACGGAATGACAATCAGCTATATAATTTCAGAAAGGCATAAAACGCAGAACTAGACTTCTAGGTACAATATTCTTCTGCTAAATAAAAAAATGCTAAAGTGCAAACATTAAAATTTAAATGCATAATAAGTAATCTCAGTTTCGAATAGCATAAAGGTCCGAAAGTTGTCTCACCCATTCCTTTATCATACATAGCAACATTTATAATTATTCCTCTCCACGATTTGAGAATTTTCATTTCGTCCATTACTTCTATATATCGCCTTTAACAAATAACGTTTTTATATATTGTCATATTCATCATTACACAACTAAAGCAGCGTGTTTTGACAGAAAATGTTATATATTAAACATTTTTTAAGCGATTTTTTTTGCGAGGAACACAACTCACTGGGAAAGATACTAGTAAGTAAATGAATGTCAGAAATTTTGTAGGCTGTTCTCCTTGAATACGAAATTCTAGTTTTTGTCGATTATTCAAAGAACAACCACTGATATTCCAGATCTGAAAAAAAGATTATTCTAGTTCTACAAAAGGAAACTTTTGTCCAATTTAACCTTCATTGTAGGTCTTACCCTTTCCGAGATAGCAATAGTGGGATAAGCTCAAAAAGTGGCCTTTATAAACCAAGTGGAAAAAGTGCAGATTTTAAATTTCCTTAATTTGGTATGGAAGGTACCCATCCCGAGCAAGATACTATTCATAACTTGTAGTTCGAAGATTGAATCTCAATATTCAATACATTATTTCTCTTCTTTTCAGATGGTATTCGTCTCACCCAGAGATCTTACTATTATTATCATAATAATAGTGCTTTTTTAATTTTCTAAACACATAGTTTTCCCAAGTATAGAAGAACATTTTAAGACCATTGAAGACCATGTAATTCGATGTTTGTATGAAAGTAGTTGTTTAGAGAGAACTTTTTTCCAGTTTATGTCTGAAAGTTACTTTTTTATATATCTATATATCTTTGTAGTTTATTTTGGAATTATTTGCTTTCTTCCTTCTTTCGGAAGATTCCCACATTTTTTTGTATAAAGATGGAGAAGTAGAAAAAAGCATTACCAAAGCATGTGATAATAATCCAAACTGAACGATATCGGATATGGGTTATGTTTTTTAATTGAAGAGTTAAATGTTTTCTCTGACTCTACCTTGCATCATATGGGTAATAAAATGCAACACTGCCATTGATTTAACCGATCAGAACAGCCTCCATAATTTCTCAACAGATTCGCTTCTATCACGAACTACTCATAGATAAATCAACGCTCAAACATAGACCTCTACAGCCAGGTGAAAGGTACTCCATCGTCTCACTAGAAATCACATTCACGAGTCAGGAACCGAGAGGAACGTCGAAGTTTTTTTCTTTTTGACGAAATAAACGTTCATATTATCCTTGCCTTTGACATAAACCGATCCTCTCGGTTCGAACTCGTATTTCTCTTGTAAAATCTCGAGACAGTTCTCGCCTACCTGTATCCTACCGTTTTTTCCGGTGCTGTCCATTCGAGAAGCAATGTTCACGGCGTCCCCCCAAATGTCATAGTAGAGCTTGGTGTTTCCTATGACAGCAGCCGTAACATCCCCGAAGTTGTACCTGCGGGAAGAGGACACGTGTAATGTTAAAAATTATGTAATAAATTGTTGCATGAACATGTAACCTAGACGACAGCAAATACATAACGGTTTGGGTATAATCTTTGATGTGAACCTTTCATTCACCACCTAGATCAACACCATCAATAAAGCTCTTAAATTTCTTGGTTTTGTCTTCCGAAATCGTAAGGATCTAACAGTGGATGCCACCAGAATTGTTTATCTAGCCTATATAAGATCTTATGATGCACTGTTTGGAACCTTTGGTGTAGTAATGAATATTACTGGAGGAAGATTTAATCTTCCTCTTGAAGATGATCACTTGGTGATCAAAACACGTGTCGAGGTGTTAAAAATAACGATTTGGTGTTGGGAAAGAATTCCAGTTATATTTATATAAGGTCTGTTTTGGAGTATGCGTCACCAGTCTGGTCTCCTCATCATACTGTACATATAAATAATACTTAAGCAGTGCAAAATAGATTCCTCAGATTTGTTGCCTTTAAATCTGGCCTCATAGTTTGAAAATATGATTATTTTGATACACTTGATATTGCCAATCGTCACACCTTTTCTTTTCGCAGAACAAATATCGATTTCATTGCCTTATTTAAAATTATGTCAGGTGACATTAATTGTAATGTTCTATTACTAGAAGTTTAATTCCAAGTACCTGTTTGTTCAACCAGGAACAATACTCTTTTTACTGTTCTTAATCACCATACGTGTTAGAAAATAGCTTAGCAGACCATTTTGGCGACAATAGATCATCCGTATGCACGGTTTCTGGAATTGAATCGAATAATTTTTTCTTTATGCCCGTTAACGAATGTGAAATTGACGCAGTAATTAACAATCTAAAAAATAAAAAAAGTACAGGAATTGATAATATATCAGTGATAATTTTAAAAGAAATTAAGTAACACATTTCAAAACATTTAGCTTATTTATTGAATCTATCAGTCACAAGTTGCAAATTCCCTTCAATTCTAAAAACAGCCATGATCATACCAGTTCATAAGAAGAACGATACATCGGATTTTACAAACTATCGCCCTGTGGCCCTGCTAAGCATTTTTTCAAAATTTTTTGAAAATGTTGTGAATGAGAGAATATTGAGATTTTTATCAAGGTTTAAGATCCTGTCCGATTCTCAACATGGTTTTTGCAAAGGCAAGTCCACTTAATCAGCTACTTGGAGATTCTTAGAAATCATATACGCTTCTTTAGATAGGGGTAAGCATGTTGCAGGAGTATTCTTCGATCTGTCACCGATTGTTTAAATTTTAAATTCATCGAGAGCAAATTATATAATCTAGGATTTAGAGGGGACTTCCTAGAATGGATCATTGACTTTCTTACAGATCGTAGGATGTTCGTCAAGATTAAAGATATGAAATCAGACTTTCACGATATATGTTCTGGAGTTCCTCAAGGCTCTGTGTTAGGTCCGCTGATCTTTCTATTGTTTGTAAATGATCTGCCTACTTATTTCATCAGTAATGAACATGCTCTCACTCTTTTCGCAGATGACACGTCTTTAGCTGTATCAGCAGAGAGTCAGGAGGAATTAAAATCAAAAAACAGAGGAATTAATATCACTGTTTTTAAATTGGTGTGAAAGGAACAATCTGGTTGTAAACTTGACCAAAACAAAATATATCTATTTTAATTTAAAAAACGATCTGAAAAAGCAATCGCTTGCCTTACTAATCAATGGAATGACACTGGCATGCACAAGTTGTACAAAATTCCTTGGCGTTCATGTAGACAACTGTTTGAAGTGGTCTGACCATATCACAGTTGTTTGTAAAAAATCAATCAAGGGTATTATGCAATCTCAAGAATTAAGAGTTGTATGCCTTTACGCGCCATTTTAGATGTATATTACAGTCTGGTCTATAGACATCTAAGTTATAATGTGATCCTATGGGGAAACAGTGTTGACAAAGATAGGGTTTTCATTGCTCAAAAAAAAGTTGTTAGGAAATTACTAGGCATTCCTTGGAGGGAATCATGCAAGACATTTTTCATTAGTCATCAAATTTTAACCTTTCCCTGCATCTATATCTTTAAAATACTTTTATATATTCGCGAATGTATAACAGACTGTACTAAGAACTCATTCTATCATAGCTACCCAACTCGATATGCAGAGGAGTTGAGCATTCCTAAACATAAAACTATAAAATTCGAACATTCTCCCAAATATATGGGAATAAAATTATTCAATCGGTTACCAGACCATTTCAAACAGATGAACACTGTAGCATTTAAAAAAGCAGTTAAAACATTGCTTCTTTCTAAGGCCTACTATAGTATTGGCGAAATTCTCTCGAACCATCTCGACTGAATGGGTTCATGCGGCTTTGGCATGACATATTCAATTTTTATAGCTACAATTGTTTTAATTTTTGTAATTCTGACTAATTTGTATGAATTTTTATTGTATTATTTTTATCTACTGATCTACAATTTTATCGTTTGATGTGATTTTTATGTGCTTAATACTGACCTATCCTATACGTTTGTCAACGTCTTTGAGGATGAATAAATATTATTATTATTATTATTATACTAACTATGGATTCTTCTCACCCATGTTTATGCGAGAAGCCAACCGTCTTAACTGTGACATTACAGGAATTTCACTGGATACTTTTAACAAACAGTGTAGCAACAGAATTCGATAGATAACCAGCAAGGATGATAATTTCAAGTTTATATAATTTAAATTTTATATATTTATATCTATCTTAAAGCTAAGATGAGCCTTTTAATACACTTGAACAAACCATTTTCTGCGACAAAGAGGTTCATCAACCAACTGTTATAACACCTGATCTTTTCCTGGTTTCTACCTGTAATTATTACGTGAGGAAGTGAACAACAGGCTGTTTGGAATATGACCTTTGTCGCTGTTCATATATCTCATTCCATATTTCTTGATGTAAAGCCTGTTGTGATGTATCACGATTTCAAGCATTTCTGACTTATTCTGTGGCCATTCTCTAAGGGATGTTAAGTGACACTAGGCTTCTCTGCTCTATGAAACCGAAAATGTGAAACATGTTTCTTTTGTGGTTTTTTTAATTCTCCAATTTTATCAAAAAAAAGTTGAGAAACTTCTGAAGGAAAGAATTATGGAATTGATTCAGATATTTTTCATAGGAACGCTACACAATATAATATATGAAAGAGTTATATAGATCATCTGTCAAAATAAATACAATAAAATATAGAGTTTTACTAATAGGACATATATGCACATAGACATACTGAATTACATGAGAGAAATATAGTTGTAATGAATTAAAAGTTCACCTATCTTGAGAAAGCATGCTTTATCCTGTCATAATAGTTACTTATACTGTATACGACTACTTTCAGTTCAATTCTGAATTTAGTCAACGGCAAGTTTTGTATATTGTCATATAACTGTTTGAAATAGCATAGAGTCAAATGTCTGTCAGGTCACATGATGTCAAAAAAGAGTGCTTTCCCTGATCAAGACCTTTGACAATGTCTGACACTAGTTTGTAAGCTACTGGGGTATTAGACCTATATAGTGGAGTAGAACCGCTTTTCAAAGTGTCAATGGAAACGATTTTTCAAAATTATCTCAATTGATGTCAATTATGCTAATTTGGCAGTAATTATCCGCTGGGGACCTGAAACTTATTGTTGAAAATTTAAAAAACATCGGAAATAATACTTTTAAGAAAATATCGTTAATTAATGATGTTAGTGAGATTTCGATTAGGTCAGCCACCAATTTCATTATCTGACTATGTATATTGAGAGAACTACTGACTTTTAAGAGATCTCTTGCATCGACTACTTCTTAAGGACAGGCAGGCTCCAGAAAAAATCCGAATAGGGAAGAATAGTTCTTAACCAGACCAGACAATTTGTAAAATCTATAATTATTTATAAACACTACATACCCCACCCGCAACTCCAAGTCAAAGCCTAGGAGGTCTCTGTTAAACGCGTGCACCACCTTCTGCATCTCTAGAGCGAAATCCATCAGCGCGTACAGATGTTCGTTAGGGTCCTTCTGCTGCTGTCTCTTGCGCGAGTTTAGACCGCTGGCCGCCATGAAAGTCGAACCGATCGTTTTTATTTTCTCGACGGTGTGGAATTCGTCTCGGTCGAGAAGCTCGTCAAAGTCGCCGATGAGCTCGTTCAGAACCCGCAGGTATTCCCTGCCGCCTTCGTAGCTCTCATCGTACATCTCGTTGAAGTTGACGATGCTCGCGAATATTATCGCAACGTTCTTGAAGTTCTCCGAGTATTTCGCGTCTTTCTTCAGCAGTTCAGCGACGTGCTTCGGGACGATGTTGTAGATGAGGTAATCCGCCTGGTTCTTGAGGCTCTGTACTTTGTTTTTGTCTCTATTGGCGACGAAATTCGCGTGGAAGCTCAGACGATATCTAGAAATGTAGTACCATTATGCTAAAACTTAAATCTTTGGTTATCTAATTTTATGATGACAAAGAATTCAGAACTAGGCAACAAACTCTGTTTCAATCCGATGCTATTAGCTCTGTGGATGGGTTGGTCAGAAAAGATTTACATGGTACGGTCAAGTATAGAATATTGTACTTGTGTTTGGTCACCAATACATGAAGCTCATATCAAAGGTATAGAAAGAGTTCAAAATGAGTTCTTAAGATATATTGCTTTAACAATGAAAATATTTCCCAACAATTACTTTTTGAAACTAATCTTCAAAGCCTTAGCACTTGTAGGGTTAATGTCGATATTATATTTCTTCAGAAAATAATGATAATGATACTAATAATGATGATTGTAGTTCATTGAATAAAATTACAATTTTGCTCAATTGGCCATCAAACGAAGTCCTACCACCTGTGTTACAAAATAGCTTTAAATTACATATAATCTTCTTTTACAATATTTCACAAAAATGCAAACAGGCTGATTCACGGTGGATGGCACATTAGACGTTTCTGGTGAACCAGACAACGGATCACTTTGAAAATTTAATGGAGGGCATATTCGGATCGGACATTCTCTAGCCAACTAAAATATTTTCGACAATGCGGTGTTGCCGCTTCTATTAGAAAGCAGTAGCAACTTTGATTTTTCAAATGGAACACTCTGTATATAATATTATTTTTCGAATCTCCAACAATTGCCCGACAACTTTTCTTGATATTTCCCTATACCTATCTGTTACCGTTTTCGAAATAAAAATTAATTTCAATTTTTTTCTTCGAAAATCATGACTTCTAAAAATGCCGATATCTTTTA